TATTTCGTCATTCTTGCGCCGATCTTCCCTCCCTTCTGATGAGCTGTTAGTCAGGGGTCTCACCAGGGTAAACTGGTTCAGTTTGTAATTGCTCTGTATATTCAGTTCAAGTAAGTCAGTGGTTTATTGCTTTCCATCAATGAACCGATTGTGTTTGTTCGGTTACCGGATGCTTATCGTAAGTACCTCCATTTAGAGATTCTGTGGTCGAGCTCGAAACAGAAATGAGCCAACGCCAAAAATGCTCGGCAAAACTTGTCATAGACCTACGCTAACGAATGAGTATTTGCGCTAGTTTTATAAAAAAAAATAAAAAATCCTCCAAAACTGGTCATGAGTCGTAAGAAACGAATTCAACTATGTGGTAATTACGCGTGAAATTATATCAGAAAGCGGTTTATTCTTAACAAAATAAGGAGGTCCATGTCACGTGGTTGTATTAAGATGTAAAGGCAGAAGTGCTACGTTTGTTCTCTTATGGCCTACTGGGCCGGTCAGATTTGTCTGTCACCATATGCGAGCCCACCTCCAGTTATCTTGACATTATCTTGCCATCTGCACTTAGCCGATGAGGGAGGAAAGAATTCAGTAGATTCTGCATCAGTCTGCTTCACTGTCAACGGAAAGTTTATCGTCTCTGTGCGCATCCTCTTGTGGGGCCTACGATGGACGTTATTGCTTGTGACGTTTGAACGCGCATATTTTCTGGCTAGACAGTTGCAAAAAACCCCATCAGACTGCTGACAGGAAAAATACTGCGCTGAGATCTCGCAATTTTTATTCTAGTTTCGATTCACGTCGTACACTAATGTTTTTCACCTGTTGCGTAGTGCCTATTTTCTTGGAACATTTACGCGACATTTTGTGAACTTTTCTGGGCAAATTACTAACAGAAGGACCTAATAGTTAAGCCAGATTTGTTGCTTTATGGCGTGGTAAATTCTAACCTTACCAGAATTTTGAAAATGTAATTGCAGTGCATAAGAATTTCGTGACAGTCTTTGGTACGTCTGTTTGTTCTAAGTCGTCCAAAACACTTGGTCCACGAAGCAGCTGTTGATATTAAGGACTATTTCAGACGCATCAAGGCTGTGTACTAAAGTAAGTGAAAGCATTATGCATGATGACTTTCCCAATATTTTACATTCCACGTCACGCTGGTTGAAGCATACTATTTTTGACTTTTTCAGGAAAAAACACAGTGAATAATTTATTTCTACGGATCCGCATGTAAAAATCAGTTTGCGGGCCAAGCAATTTCCCTGATCCGAATTATACAGTCCCTGACTAGAATATTTACATAACATTGGGCTAGCGTGGAAAAGGCATTTGTTTTGTTGCGGGGAAAAGAAGTTGGCGAATATCGCAATAAGTAACTGTAGCGGTATCAAAAGGGAACTCTTTTCCAACCCTCTGCGACAGGATAAAAACACCAAGAGTCATTCGTTACTGAACGTTCACCCGGCCGCTAATGGAACTATTCTGTCCCGCTCTGCCTTTGGCCTCGACAGAAGCCCTGACAGCCATAGCAGATGGTAGTATAGGCAAATAATATTACCGAAAAAGTCTCCTATGCCTTTGCCTGCAATATTATCTGCCTAAACAGAGAGTATTTACGAATGATCGTCTTCTCATTCTCTCCCCGACTGTTCCGCGCGTCGCAGTTTTAATCACACTTGACAGGTTTGCCCCCTTCTCTCTCAACATTCGCATCCGCATATTAGGCCAACAGGTCATTCATCTATCACGTTTCAACCCTTTAGGGTGACGTTTAATTGGGCAGTTTATCTTGTGGTATTAATAGGCAACGACCGTAAAGAATTGCGTTCGCGAAATCCTATGACGCCAGTAAATATACTGTAGTTCGTCAACTCTGACTTGTTCAAATCGTAGATTGTCCTCGTCATATGGAAGCGAGATCGAAGATGCAAGTTACAGCAACCAAATGACCAGTAAAGTGTCAAGACCTAGTACCACGTTGTCACAGTTAATTCGGAAAAAATATCGATTTCAATTTAAAAAAAGAGTAAAAGAAGAGAAGCTTCATTACAAAATAAAAACTACTTTGAGAGTCTAAAAAGCTCTAAAGCGGGTTTTTATTGCCTCCAGAAACGTGTTGTCTGGGTATATGACACGGCCATATTTTATACAAGTCCGAAAAATAACACCACAACATACTTATTTATTATACACGATGTTCTACAGCCAAAGCTTATCGAACTGAATACATTTTATTCATATTTCAGCGTTAAAAGTGCTTACATATTCAGGGACACTTTCGACAGGTTTCCCTGGCAGTATCACTAAATATTCACTCAATATTTTAGCTGACATTTAAGTATGGGTGGGTCTATGCAAATCAATCAAGTCTCACCGTTCTGAATCGAAGGTAAATTATTATCAGCATGGACACTGTACAAATAAGCCGACTCGCGCACATTGTGGGGTCTTGGCAAATGACGAGTCATGAATCTATGTCATTTTTATGGGTACTTTTTGAAAATGTTAGTCAGCTTTATTTTCGTGGTTCACGATCACAGCAATTTTTGTGAAGTTATTCTGCTAACTTGCAACGTGGCAAACTTCAGAGGATGACGAAAAGCTAATAAGTGTAATTATTTGATTTGGGCAATTAATTCTTAGAGACTGAATCTGCAAGCGCAAATCCTAGTTCTTTACCGGAATTTCAGTCTTCGATTTTAAGAGACGATAGACCGATAATTGAAAGAGTCACTTGAACCTATCACTAGCACATTAACAGGAATTAAAAGTAGAATGAAAAGTTATGGTAGGATTCATGACTTTGAACAGCTAAAAACATTCGGCAATTCATAAGAATCGGAACACCTCCTTCTGGCGACCTAGCGTGAATATGCATAAGTACACGGTTTAGGGCTACAATTAAGATTCAATTTAGGAATAGGGTTAATTTTTGGGTTATGTTTTGAGTTAATACACGGGAACATTTATCCTTCGTAGGTTTATGCACAAATTCCTCACGATTACCAAGGATGCTTTATGCGTTCAAGGAATTGATTCGCAGGATCCAGCGTTGTTGGTGAGCCTTCGGTGAGAAACCCAAGGCAACTGAATGCTTATTTTGTCAATCCCTATGTCGGAGTGCCACAAGGGAATACGATAGCCTTTTGGACCTTCAGCTGACCCTATAAACAGGCAGTGAAGCCAAGTTCAGGCTAGCGGAAGCCGCAACCCCAGAGTTCGTTGGTGCCCCTGGAGCCGTTGTTTATCTAACGAAGGTGCCTGAAGTGACACAGGAATCGATCCCCCCACACTAAAATATTATTACTAATCACGCAACAAAAAGATGCGAAGCAATCAGGTGCGAGCACTAAAAGTCTAAAAGCGGATAAGGACATGATTAAGAAGGAGAACCTTCGATTGCTGGGACAACACGTTGATTCGCCTGTCGTGGATTCAACATAATACGCATGAGTAGAAAATAGTAGCAGAGATGTGACATGATTATCTCACCGGCTGATAAAGGTTAGTTTAACAGTAGCGCCCATTAACTCAGGTTACCAGAACAAAGCAAAGAGTCTATTTGATGAACAGCAGCTTTAAAACTAGGCCGCACCAAACAAATGAACAGGATGCTCACCTGGATAAACAAAAACCTAAAAAACTTAGCGCCGAAGGGACAGTCACACACAGCACCGGGTTTTCTATGAAACCCAGTGACTCCACCATGGCTTGTTTTTACAGTCAGCCGAAAGTACACAAGGCAAATGTACCCCTCAGTCCTATAGTATGTCTTCGTGGCCTTCCGACATAAATTCTAGCAAGATGAATGTTCAGTCGTCTTACGTTTCTGGCCGAAGGCTTACCATGAACAAAGGGCTTCTGCGAATTAACAATGATCCCTTTTTCCATGTTTTATTAAACATTCGTTTTGCATATCCAATTTGGCTGGAGGATCACTGGCAAAGAAAATAAATGCTGACCGTGTAAAATCTAACGTCCACTAATGAGGACAAGACGTACCGGCAAAGAGGAAGTACTTAATTCCAAAGTAAAGAAGCCTGGGGAGGATGGAAGAACCGTTGAGCATGTAGAAGATAGGAATAATCCAGATTGCCTGTTCAGTAAATCGGCGTTTCAGGAAGGGAGATCCACCCGGCGTCCCATTTCTCTCCAACGACAACGGCAGAAAAGGTGTGCGCTTTGGGCGAGACAAACAGAGTCTTGAAAGACAAATTATGCCGGCCAGAATCGGAACTACGCATGGCAGAATTTCACCAATCAGATGGTCCGCCAGTGGCCAAAAATAGGAGACAAAAGCGGGATTTAGTGGCCAGGAGGCCAAGAAATCGCACTGATAAAAGACATCTGCATTGTCACCGGATGCAATGTGGTTCTGCACGCTGGAGAGGTCAAACGTCCAGAAGAACTGACTGTCCATGGTCGCCATCAGAGCAATGGCCAAAATCAGAATATTATAGGCACAGTGGCGATTGAATGAGGTATAACGGCATCTGGGACTTTTGGCATATCTGAGGGTATCGAGGGCCAGAGCGAGGTAGAGAAGGCTCAGCACGTGTCGAAAACAGCTGTATGCCATAGCCAGCGACTGACAGGCAGATCGGCCGACGAACTGCGTGATAGTTAGGACCCGGATGCCTTTGAAGAGGACCAGAATGCAGTCGGCCAGCTGCAGGATCAGGCCTATGAACTCCAGTACGAGAATGTACACCACGAAGCTGGCGATTGGCAATTTAGTCCTGGAGAGTTTTCGCATTGAATGCAGGGTTGGCAGGTAAAGTAGGATGGCGACGATGTACAGAAGAGGGAGGACAACAGCCCAGAGACCGGGCGTTTTAAGCCTAATTAGATCATTCACCAGCAGAAGGGTTTTGCTGGTGTTCTGACTCCAACCTCGTTGACCAACTCCATTGAAGAAGGAGTAAGAACCTTGAAGATGCTCAAGTGCTTTGACAGTCAAGTAGGGCTGCTTATGGCCGCGACTGTCCCATGTCGCATGACCAGTTTCGGCGTTCAAGCCAAACGCATCAACTATAAAAGACAGATTTAAGATGTGAGTCTGTGTGTCTAATAAAAAAGGAAATCAGCAATTTCGTCGAAGATATTATTCTGCACAGAATGCTATCCGGATAAGTGAAGTAAGTTGCGTTCCGAGATGATGTGATGAAAAGAAGATCTTCAGAAAATCGAGTTGTACTCGTTGTACTTTTTCGTCGTCAGACTAAATGAAAAGTGAGGCCTGCAAATGTCGCACTAGTTTTTTTGGGGGCAGAGATTACAACGAAGAGGGTGAGATTGCTATTTGCCTTATTCATTAATTTATTATTTGTTAAGTGATATTGAGAACGTTCAGGAAGCTTTCATGTGTGTGATTTATTTGCTAGCCTACTAGGGGTCCCTTGTGAGTATAAACTGCTTCAGAAGTATAAGAAGCATTGTTAAAATACTGAGCTTCTTCAATTTAGTATCGCCCGGATAAGCATTGTCTCTTTAGACGGTTGCAGTTGAAGACGACTCCAGACTGATGCCTTCAAAGAATATTTAGCAGATAAACGTGCTATTGTTGGTTTTTTTCGAAATCAGAGTAATCTTCATCCATACTCTCTGGCATTTTTAGATATTTACCCGCGAATGTGCTCGAAAATTTAATGCGTGCATCCGCCTCTACCAATAATTCATGATAGCTCATATTTCGCCACTAGAAAAAAGTCTGAATACAGAGGAAATATAACCAATAGGAAGGGCAATGGGGAAAATCTCTCCAATGGTACAGGTAACCCTGCAGTAAATTCGTTGTATGGCACTTATTTCCCCGTTTATAACCCCAACGCTAAAACCTTAATTTTAACCTGGGTAGTAACCTAACTTATACCCTGACCCTAATCGCCATTCAACCTAGCACAAGGCCGTCAGGGGCTCCAAGTTTATGTTTTTTTTCTTAACATGTTGACGTGCTTCGTCATGTGTCGTCTTACTATAGTCTGGCCACACAGGTTAACAGATTCAGAGGCACGAAACCTACATTCGAGTTCTCATCCCATGAAATGTCAACCAAATATCTGAAATGTGTTTCTGATTCGAACAAATTACTTGAGTTGGCCTTTAATATTGATGAGGAGGATGCAGCGTAATCTGAAAAGATATTTCATTTGCATCAGGATGCCGGCGTTTGTAGGATCTTTTTGCTGAATAAAGATATTTTGCACATGTTTTTTTCTATGAAATATATCTGCATTTAAAAGAACTGGGATAATCTCTGCGAAAAATGATTATTCCTTAAGTGAAAATTGTTCACAGATTGCTGATTTGCAAGTGAAAGTCTGTTCAAAAATAAAAATCCTTACAGGACGCAAATATCCTGAGAATAGGCTGCATCGTAATCAATATTACAGCCCTATTTAAATAATGTTTTCATATAAAAAAGAAAAATTTTCGGAATTTTTGTCAACCCGTAATGACCCAAGATAGGCTACGCTAGTATGTACATTCTGGTCGTGTATCACCAACTCGTTGGCACTTACCTAACTTTAAAAGGCAAAACCAGTTACCACATTCAATTGGCTATTAGTAACTTTCCTATCATTTGGAAGGACTGATTGTGACGAAGTTCCGACGGGTTCCGATTTTAGTTCGTTTCTTAATGGACCAATACTCTGCGGAATTAAAATACAGTACTCTGTGCCCAAACGGTTTCATGTTTTGATAGTAATAGCTGCATTCTTTCACCTATTACAGACAAATTTTACTCGCTGTGCCACCAAAACTAACTGTACTTAATCTTATTACTAAGTTAACAATAAGCTGTTACTTCAATTTTTCCCAGTGTGCAAGTTTCTTGTCTGGCATGCACAGCATGCTAAAACTTTGGATTTTGAACAAAGCAAATGAACAAAGTGGTAACAGTTCCCCTATCTACCATACACTTGCAAATTTTCGCGTAGATATCGGGTTGAACGAATTAGCACAACCTTAGGCTAAATAAATAACTAAATTCTTGGTGACGGCTGATTTAGACGCCTAATGTGGATGTCCTGAAATGATGCTTTACTTAAAATTTAAAAATGAACGATCGCCATCGACTCTGTTGTCAAATGGATAAATCTTCTAAAATATAATACTAGTCTGGCCAAGAAAACTGGCTTCGGCATGATAGAATAGAGTGGGTTGTGTTCGCTTCATACTCACTTATCCTGTTGAAATGAGTCAGGGGATTTAACAGACATTAAGTGAAGACTAAGAGGGTTATTTTATATAACCCTCAGTGTAGTCAAAGCCTACCGAACGACTATCAGTCACTGGGCCAGCCTCTGCTAACAACAAGAAGAGCGGCTACAAAAAGTTTACGCAAGTTGGTCTTATGCGCATAGAAAAAGCGCATAAAAACTCGGCGCTCATCGCGGCATGCAACTCTCTGCCTCTCGCCATTAACTCTCCCTGATGCCGACTCTTCACAAACTCCACTGTCTGTTATTCGTCCTCCCCCCGCATATCCCCACACTCCACTTGTGAGTTGAGGGAAGTTTATCTGAATCCTCTGGTCATTAAAATCAGTTACTCGACCCCATTCTTTCGTAACTATACCGGCCAGACGAGAATTGATCGATAGCAGACGAATGCTGAGTACAAAGTCTCACAAAGAACACCAGTCGAGTTTCCCTAGTAAAAACGCAACTAGAGTTCTTATAAATTGCGCCGAACAAGGCAGGAACAAATGCAGTCCTCAAAAAAGAGTTACCTTTTCATAAAAGTCTTACGGAAAACGACCCAGGTAAAATTCGAGTATGTCGCCTCACCTACTGTTAACTTTTATAAAATGCCTACCTATGCCCACTTCCCGCCACGCCTTCAAGTGTTATCACTAGATTTAGCGTTCATTTTAATGTTAGGTTCAGGAAACTTGGAGGAACGGCTACGGTTACAAGTATAGGTTTGGGCAAATGTTCGGGTTTTATGGTTTGGACTAGGCTTTAAATATATTTTGTGACAGGGATTAAGTTAGTTATTTTGTTAAGTTCCACTTGATCGTCAGTCACGACCATCAAGAGAGTCTGATATAACGATTTATTTTTCACGATTAATATTTAAATGCTAGTGATCATCAGGGGTTAGCATCACTTTACCTGAAATATCTAACTAATAGGCTCGATTTACTTACTTTCGTCCTACTTAGAATTCTTAACTTCCAGTAGTCCAAATTGCCTGCCGGCCGTTATATGCTTTAGTAGTGCTTTCCAACACGCTCATCGCTTAAATGTGCATTTATATTTACCATCCGAAGAGATCTATCCGTCAGTTACGATGACTCCACTTCTACAGCAATCCTTGGTTCCCTCTTTACCAACCTATCCGAGCGTCAACAACTGCTAAGGCAGGAGCTCCAAAGCTTTAAGAAAAATGCGGCCGCGGTGAGACTTCTGAATAGTATAAAACTTGGAGTAATTATATAGAAAACGCAACTTGACGCTTTGCCTTACAAT